ATATTTTATTAATAAAATAAAGAAAAAATTATATGTAAAAATAGTTAAAATGATCATCTACAATAACTTGAGCTAATATAGCCAGAAAAGTAACTCCAACCTTACTTTTTCTACTTATTACACAATTCAGCGCGCGGAAGCAAAAGTTAGGTGCTTGATGAAAAAGTTGACTGATAAGCCTGATGATCCAAAAACAGTGTTGTCAAATGGCCTCTTAGAGTTTTCTTTTGGGAAATAGTTTGAAATAGAAGCAAAACAGCGTCCGTGTACCCAAATAGGAGCAAAACATCCTATTAATGGAACGACATCCTCTGACGCACGGGAGAGTGCCTTGCGCGCAGGGGTCCATCTGATGGAGAAGAGAGGGGGCGTTGAAATCTCCGAACGTCCACGTTTTGATCGGGCGGTTCTCTAGAGCTGGGCACGGTGCCTTGCTTTGAAGTTTTGCAAGGTTCCGGATCCCTTATTAATCCCTAAATAAGAGTATTTTAAGTGTTCAGACCATATCTTCTCTCTCACCAAAGTATCTCTTCTGTGTCGATAGGTTCCTACCAAATACAGAACAAGTATCACAATCTCTTCCAAAATGAACCAGAGTTTCAAAGGAGAGCGGTGGTGCAAACACGCCGGTATGCCGACTCCGACGTAGTAGAGAGACAATACGGCGATGCGGAAATGGTTGCACGACACGACGACAATACAACAACGGTGGACTAGCAGCTGAATCCCCTAGTTGTTCGCCAACTCAGCGGTAATGGGATGGCGACACGGTGACAACACAATAGCGGCGGACTGGCATAGGATAGCCATGTTTATGCATCTCGGAATGCCATAAACTCATAAAGTTTTATACAAAAGTTGTTTTAGCTTGGCACTTGGTGTTATTTTCTGCCTAATTGGCAATATTAAGAGGTAGTTCTTTATTTCTATATTTTGTTGTTCAAATGAATATATATTGCTTTTGGTTATTTGGATCTCGCTGGACTTTGATAGAGAATTCGCCGGAGATTTGGAGCAATTTCTGCGGAGTCCGTAGTAGATCTAGGAAGAATGGAGGAACGACATCAGCCTGAAGTCACGTCAAAGAAGATGGATAGTGTCAGGACTCAGGCTAGAGGACATGATGTTAGCAGAGGTTGCGACGGAGGACACTTTGACGATGGGATATGGTGACGGTCGTACCCTACCAATAGCCTTCATGCAAATGAGAATGTGAGATGTAGATTAAGGCATCTGAAGAGTTTTTGTTTTAATTTTTATATTTTATTAAAAAACCATGAATGTTTCATTAAGGGCAATTCAATCGAATCAGGCCTTTTTTGCTCCTACCAAACGTTCAGCTCCTATTGTTGCACTAGTCCATTGTTTTACTCGTATGGAAGGAATTAACTGTTTTCTCTTCCAATTTTTTCGGTTCTTAACCATTTTCATAGGATAGATGTACGATCGACCTAGGGAGAACTTTTCGTGGAGAGGACCTAGCCGCCGTGGTTAGGATATAGTTTTGATCGGGCAATCATTCGCCCATAGTCTTTCACGGCTGAAGCAATATTCGGCAATCGGCAGGGTTATCACGAAAGAAGAGCCAGGCTTTGATAGGAAGCTTTGACAAACGAGTTCGAGTCTGGGCGATTGGGCAAAGAAAATGGAGCAGATGAACAACGGCGGGGTGGACGCGCTGGCCAATGCTTATGAGCGGCTGGATCTGGAGGAGGTCCTCGTGGTCACTCCTGTGGCACCGAACTCCTCCAAGCACAATCTGACCATGGTGGGAACTATAACCTCGGATAAGTCGGTACGTTTTTCTCAGTTTAGATATATTATGGCATCTGTGTGGAAACCTGAAAATTGGGTTACTATAACTGAAATGGGTTCTAGAAGGTTTGTGTTTCGGTTCTATAACAAGGAGGATGTCATTAAGGTGGAGGAGGAGGGACTGTGGCTTTTTTTTTTATCAAAATTTAATTGTTATGAGTAGGCTCAAAGAGGGAGATATTCCCCTATCTATCCCACTGAATAAAGCGGATTTTTGGGTTCAAGTTCATGATATCCCAGTGTGATACTTCACTGTTGAAAATGCGGAACGTATTGGGAATTTTTTAGTCACTTTTTTAAAAGTGGATGACAATAATTTTCTGAGAATTGGGGATCCTTTATGAGAATTCGTGTTTGCATTGATCTGGGAAAGCCTTTGAAAAGAAGGTTAGTTCTGCAAAAGGATGAAGGAGTCACATTCCGTGTTAGATTTTGTTATGAGAAACTGCCCAGCTTTTGCTTTCTGTGTGGTATAATAGGCCATGCAGAGAGTCATTGCCCGCGTAAGCGAAGGGGATACGAAGTCACTGGTGAAAGGCCATTTGGGCCTTGGCTTAGAGCTGCAAAAGGGGCTAAGCAGTGGAAAGAGAACAAATGGCTTGTTCCAATAGGGAGAGGAATAAGTTCTGATAGCAAAATTACCGGCGGAAATAGAGAGGAAAGCATGTGTTTAGGTACGGTGGAAGGCGGTCTCTCATCACATGAGAGGGGGTCCTTTGAGCAGAAACGGAGACGTGTGGAGGACTCGACAGAGCACCAATCCGGGGAGGAGATGGAGATTGTTTATACCGGGGGGGGGGGGGGGGGGGAGCTACTAACTTGTAGCTCGCCAGGCAGAACTTTGAGAGTCACTGGACCGCATCTTTGGGGGTTGAATAAGGCCGAGAGCCAGGAAGACTATTTATTTTTGCTCTTTTTCATTTTACTTTGCTCATGTTGCTTTTATTTTTGTTTGGTACTCTAGCGGTAGGTTGAGGTTTGTTTTTTCGTACTTGGTTTGGGATGATGTTTTTGGTGGAAGCGATGAGGCGTGTTTGGCTATTAAAAGCTTCGAAACTCTCACATGGTTCGCGAATAGTCTCGCTCCTTCCGAGGTGGTCTATTCTAAGTCTAGCCAGAGAGTGGGGGGTGCCTTTGGGCTATGCGGAACCTCATGAAGAGGTTTGGCGTTACACGTGGGGTAGTAATTGTAGATGCTTGATTGAGAAGGTTTGGGTTGATTGTAAGAGGGGAAGTATGTTGAGTCGTTTGATTGATATAATATAATCAGTTTCCTTTAAAAAAACCATTTTCATAGATTTCTTTTAACAGAATAATAATTTGTTATAACAAACTTATTATATGGCTGTTTTTTGAAAAATAAACGTATTTATATGATGTTTTTTTAGTACATTAGCTTAAATGACGGATTGAAAATAATAAAAGAAAGCAATGTTATAAAAGTGTGAGCATTTTCATCTAATGTACATAACTATTGCACTGTACCAATAATTTGTAGGTAAGAAATGTGTGAAAGGATGCTCGTACATGTCAAATTTGAAAGGAGATATAATTAGTATAGGCACTAGACAAATATAACTCCTAGACAAATATAACTCCTTTAGCAACAACATAACTCATTCGAATTTTATGCTTTTGGAAAATTTGAATAATATGTATATTTGATGTTGCTTTTAAAGAAAGAGTCCCACTGAATTTTTTTTTTTGGATGAGAGTCCCACTGAAATTGAATATGTATAATCCAGTCAAACCAATTAAGCAATTTAAGAGCCCGTTTGGTAATACCCAAATTGGTTTTATTAGCTGATTTTGATGAAATGTATGAAGTTCTGACTCAAGTAGTTAGATTGGCTGATTCTGATGAAATTTAGGAAGTTATGGCTCAAGTGGTTGGAATGTTGAATTGGTTGATTCTGATAATTTATGAAAAATTTAAGAGTTTTTTCCACTTTTAGTCCTTCGACTATTATGTCACTGACACTTTTGGTACTCAACTTTGATTTTTTCCACTTTTAGTCATCACCTATTATACTAGAGACACTTTTGGTACCTATCTTTGAAAATTTCCATTTATAATCTTTCGACTTACATAAAAGTGACACTTTTGGTCCTCCAACTATTATAACAGTGACATTTTTAGTCCGTCACTTATTGTGTCAAAATCATAGTGGAAGGACTAAAAGTGTCAATTTGATAATATCAAAGGACTAAATGTGAAACACTTTGAAGTCGAGGACTAAAAGTGTCTCTAACACAATAGGTGAGGACTAAAAATGGAAAAATTAAAAGTCGAATACCAAAAGTGTCACTGACACAATAGTCGAGTGATCGAAAATGGAAAAAACTCCAAATTTAAATTTAAAATATATTTTATTAATTAAATAAAGAAAAAATTATATGAAAAAATAGCTAAAATGATTTTTTATAGTAACTTCAACCAATACAATCGGAAAAGTAACTCCAATCTTACTTTTTCTTATTATAACAAAATTCAAGGCGCGAAAAAAAAGTTAAATGTTTGGTTCAAAAAGTTGACCAAACAAACCCTAAAAATACAGTACAGGTTTTTATTATAAAAATTGTCTATAGGTTAAACATAACATTGTTTTTGAATGGAATTACTAAGCACCAAAAATAGGGTGGACCACCGGAGTGAATTCACCGTCCGTTGCACCGTAGGACAGTAAGACAGTAGGACTTAATCACAACCGAACATTACTGGTGGACTCGGGTTAGGCCGCCCGGCCCGGTCCGGGCCACCCAAACCGGGAATAAAACAGGGCGGTCTCGGGCCTCCTAAAAGTGGAACCGGCCCGGTCAAGCCAGGCCTATTTCTTTTTTTTTTTCCTTCAATTTTTTTGGTTTCTCCCGGGTTGGGCTGGGTGTTTTGGGGGGTTTGGGGGGTGGGGGTGAAGGGGGGTGGGGGTCGAGGGTTAATTAGAAAAGCAAAAGAAAAATAAATAACACGACAGACCCGGCCCAGATCCGGTCCATCACTACCAAACATACCGAGTTTGTTACTTTGTTTCTGGACTCCCCGACCTGTTTGGCTGTTTGGGGCAGTTACCTGCTAGCTGATTGGCCTGATTCCGGTGTTTAGCCAAATATTTACAAGTGAGTATAATGGTGATGGGTTAGGTAACCCAAGAGTAGTAGGAAACTAGAGATAAGTTGAACTAATTCTAGATGCAAAAAATGTGTATTAAATTTAACAGAATAACAATACAACCATTAAACGGGATCTTCATTTCTCATTGGAAGGTGCTATTTATAGGCAAATACAAGGTTTGGGTCATAGGCCCAAAATGCTAGCTAATGAGAGAGTGAAAATGTTTATTGAAAGCCGGGGCACGATTACAGATGTTACAAATACCAGAAAAAAACAAGGAAACAGTGAAACTTTAACAGCTAAATAAATTTCACACTCATTTCACAAGAAGATAATACATGTATACTAAGAGGAGAAACGAGTAAAAATAACCAAAAAGAGTTGAGGATATTTCACGCTAAATCTTCACACTGGCATGCCGGTGTGGCTTTATTTCACCCAAAAATTTAGCCATTGATTCAAATTGAACCAGATAAGCAGGATAGGCGAGGCCACCGCTGTTGAGCAAGAAGTCTTCAGCTAACTAAATGGCTAGGTGAGCTACTAAACATGGCATGCCACATGTAAGCCCGTGAGAGCACCATTTCCAACTCTAAATCACTCCATCTATGAGTTGGAAGATGTTGGATAAACATTACCATATCTTGGAACTCAAGCTGCTGTAGCTTATCAGTCCACTGAAATGACAAGTTGCAACTGTTACTAATCCCTCCTTCCCCAAAAAGAGACATGTTTGAATCCTCTTTTTTTTATTTCAAGGAAGAAAAGGGGAAAATGGTATGTATGAGCAAATGAAGCTAGTTTTTCATGTAATTTGCAAAAAAAAAAAGTCCCATGTGATAATTTAGTAACCAACATAAACTAAATAAATAATGTGTAGGATTAACGAATTATAGCAGTTGTAAACTTGTAATTACCAAATTAATAAACAAAATATGTGCCTTGGTCAGACTTGAACTTTTCACTTCACGTAAACTTGTGACTTGTTCAAGCAGACTACTTTTGTGGTCAAACAAATCTGAGAACCGAAGGGCAGAGAATGCATCTCACCGTTAGTAGGAAACTGGCAGCTATGTACACAAGGAAATCTGGCAGTGCATCACCTTCTGCTATATAAGTGTCCCACAGACGATGAACTAGGTGGAATGGGATCTATGCGTAACCAAAGCCATTGATTAGCTCAAAACTCAAAAAATGACAGTTTCAAATTAATGATCAAAAGACCAAGAGACACACCTCGCGTATTAACAGACAATTGAACCAGCGGAAAGCAAATTGTAGAAATTCAAGTCCTTGCTCCTCCATGTGTCTTAAGATGGGCTCTGGTTTTCACAAGCATAAAGCATTGATTGCATTAAAGTGATTTTTCCTAAGGTTGGCTCCTTCAATTATACCAATAAAAAATGGCACAAATGTATAATAGTACTAATGTGTTCCAGTACCTATATTATTAGGTGTTGCCTTTTAATTTACATATTTTCATTTCTGGGATTCCAAGATAGATGTTGTTCAATATTCATTGACTAATTTTACAGAAGGGTAAACGTGAGAATTCCACATAAAATCAATTCATCCCAACTAATTTAAATCAGTCCCTCCTCTGGATGGAGTAATTTTTAAGAATGTCTTTATTTTTTTAAACATAAAGTAGATGCGTAAATAACTAGATACTTAATGTTTCACTTCTCATTTATACAATGAGCTGAAAGCAAACTTTTTCAAAAGTCATATGTTTTGCCATTTTGCATAGAACCTATTCTTAACACGTGTTTTATAGCACCTTCATTGGCCAATATAGACTTCAAATCACCCTGTATTAGGGAGAAAATTAACAGAGCACAAACGATTTACTGATTTAGAGCCTATTTTGTAAGAGTTACTTGGCTAAAATGAAATGACTATTGTTCCATATAATCAATTTCAGCCAAAGGCTGCTTAGAGACAACCTACGCCTCAAAATACAATACCATTGTTCGAGAACAGTATGTAGCTATTTTACACAATCCTTCCAAATATAGGCTGTAAGCTGTAGCAAATGCAAGGGTTATAAAGAATACAAAAACATACCATCAATCCGTCTAACCAACTCCTTTAGCTTAAAGACCAATCGTTGAATTCCAGGTTGAGCAAATGTGTAATGATCTTGCATGCAATCAAGCAACTTTGTTAGGCACCAATAACAGTCAGCTTCTACGTTAGATATTTTCTCAGCAGGAAGATCAGCTATCTTCCAATTATCAATGCTTCCCTCTAAGTGCTCCGATAAAAAAACAACCATAAAGGGTGTTGCTAGGTCATTAATTCCCTGTACATAGCCACTCGCAGGATGCCGAATGGCCCTACAATATATAAAATGAAAGATTAACATCACATGAATGATATTCTGCTAATTTTTATAATCCATAAAGACCCTAGAAATTAAGAATATGAGACAAAGGGTAGAGTGTCCAACCATGTGTAAAGTATGCGCTCCAGTGATTTCTGGACTTTTTCTTGTTGAAAGAAAGTGACATCGGGAACTGTTCTTGGGCAATCAACAGCAATCTAGCAGCACAAAAGAAGGTTTATAATTAAATGAAGTACGAATGACAGATATGGAAATTGATAACTAGAAGTCATCCTACAACATCCATGATACCTGCCGGAGCATGGTTATCTCTTCACTCGTGCGCTCAGTGTCTGGAATATCATAATACTGAGCAACACAATCAAGATACTCAAGGCGCTTTCTTGTCAAAACTCCCTCCCTTCTATCTGAATTAGGGGGTGCATATCCCTGTGGTCAGTTTTTTTATTTAATTCAAAAGCAACAAAAGTATTTTTTAGAACTACAAGTAACAAAAATAGTTAAATACATGCCTAATTCGACTTGATAGGCTAAAAATGCTGAAAGTAATATAATAGAAGTGTGAGCAAATAAATTTTTATCAATGAAATCATAGTGGGCAAAGGAGTACAGGGGGAGGGGGCAACACATAAACTTTGAGAGTTGTTCTAATTAGGAATAGGAATGTTGCACTGTTTTGTTACGGGTGCAGGGGAGCGGAGTGAAGGAAGCTAGTAGATCTATAATAAACTTTGTGGTCATCCAACAAAGATGAGAGGCATTTGCACCATTGCAGTATCAAACTTATTAACAGAACACCAGAATCCATGTTCGTACAGACTGAAACTTGTGAATGAAATACCCGCCCTTATATCCTGTTGATTACAACGCAGAAGCTGTATGCCTTTATCCGGCTAAGATGTATACTCTTTACAACAAATTCACGATCATGATATATGTATAAATCTTTTCCACTGAAACTAACTTTCATTTAAGCCTTGAAGGACAAAAATCTCATAAAAACATAGAGTTAATACAGTATGGCATATAGCGTAACAAATTGAGCAAAGAATAATCATTTCTTTTTCTCAGACATCAAAGTAAAATCCTAATATCAGAAGGCAGAATAATCCATGCAGGAAAGTCAATTAGAATATTATTATTGTTGCAATATATGCCACTTAAAACTCAAGAGCACACACAGTTTCTAAGAAATTATATCTTTATGCTTATTAGCAGGAAAAGAGGCATACCAAAATGAGCCTCCACACCACTGGTCTCAGATATGGTGGAACACCACTCCAGGCTAATTCACGCAGTTTATCTGTGAGAAATGAATTGGTTAATAAGGAGGATACAGAGAAACTATAGGGAATCTGTATGGATAAGATCTCATGGGATGACTATAATTGCAAATTGAACAAAAGAGCAAGCGACACAACTCCATCTTCGAATCAGATACTAGAATTAATTTAAATATTTACATGATGGGCATCATGTCCTATTAAGTAAGAGCACAAAGGAAACAATTAACCATGCCATACGGACTGTTAGCCAACAGATGAGGGTGCTAATAATTCATTTTTAAGGCATGTGACCTTTCCTAATGAAAATTAGAAAAGGTGAACCAAACATGTCACAATTCACAAGTACTAGAGTGTGTGATACTAGTCAAGATGAATTTGATTAGATGATATAAAAATGCTGCCATTGTGTCAAGAACAATTAGTGAACTTACCTTTCCTAAAACCACTATACTCATCCATAGGTTCAGTTTAGATGTGCAAACTTTAGACTGTTTACTGGATGATAAACTCAAATTTCCCCTTACTTTCGCTCGGACAAGCTTAATGTATACCACAAATTACGGGTAAATCATGTGACACCAAGTCACCAACTACGCATTGTAGCTTTACCCTATGAAATACTGAAATAGTTGACATGTAATAATCCTTCTGTTACACTTTTAAAGTCTCAGGATATGTTTTAAGAAAGATTACAATGTATGCCAAGGAAAGAAAGTAGTACCTAAGACAACAGTTGTTGAAGACAGTTCTTTAGTGAACTTCATTAACCTTGCTGAATCAGTAGCTCTAGAACCCATCGGGGTCCTTGGAATTTCTGTGTACTTGGGCTCGACATTTGATGTTGATGAATTCATCTTGTTAACAGATGAACTAGGATCAGAGTTGCTTCTGCTTTCTTCATCCTAAAGGCAATGCATCTCTCTGAGCACTATATATTCTGAATTAACATACAATGTAAATGCGCAAGATTGAGACAGTAAAAATGCGACATCTGCACATGTTATACCTCATGGGATTCATCAATTTGTTCATTTGGCCCTGTTTCATTTGATATTATCCGGCTACTAGTTGGGGAGTATAAGGCTGAGGCATCCAGCGGGTCTGCCCTGGGGGTTATGAATACCTTACCGGGAAAGCTGCGACCTTTCAACAACCTGAAATTTCTTACAACAGATTAGAGACTGCACATTCTGACATTCACACCAGAAACAATTAGAGGTCGTACCTTAAAGCATTTTCCATGAGGAAAGTTTTATCAGCCAAACAATGAATCACGGACACTTGACGAGGTGTCTGATTGACAGGGTGGGGTAAAAAGCCCTCGGAAACCGCAAGATACGACAAGGTCCAGTGGTGTTAGATACGGAGTGTGAAGTGGAGTTTCCTCGGGCAGAGGCGAGAAGCACGGCAACCGGAAGAAGTACGCATCCGGTAATGATGGAGAGGAACGATGGAGGCGATGAGAGGGAAACTCTACACTCGGCAGATGAGGAAGTCAGATAGATCAGATCTATTTGGGACTTTGAGTTTCCATGATTGCAGATCTCTAGCTCCCTGCGGTTTGTTTCGATGGATTTGTAATAAATGGAAATGTATGAGCGTGCAAGTCAGGATGGAGAGCTAGGCATGGCAATAGGTGGGGGCGGGGCTGGTGCTGCAAGAACTGGACCCGCCCCATGACTTGGCGGGGCGGGGCGGCCCCGTCCCGTGACCTGCACGGGTCCAAATTTGTTAATTAGCTAATATGTATTTCTATTTGTGGAAAGTTGTTACCAATTGAATATTGGAATTGAATATTTGAATCTACATAAAGTTTATCTCTGAATAATAATTAAAAATTAATATATTAAATCAAATTCATGATACGCTAAAAATTTCAAAAATTGAGAAAAAATTACTCAGACTTAAATAGTTAATCTATTTAATTATATTAATAATTGAATATATGTATTAAAATGCTATATATAACGCATACATTGATAATCCGCCGTTCATCTCATTTTAATATATATATTAATATATTATAAGATCAAAGAATTTAATATTTATTGTACACATACATATGAATGTTGAAGTATATTTGTAGTATAATTTAAGAAAAAGTATATACACTTTTATATTGAGCGGGGCAGGTTGGGGCGGGTCGGGGCAGCACGGGTCAATAAGAAACCAAGGAACCTAGCATTGTTGGACCAATGGACTTGTATTGTGATAACAATGGAGCCATTGCACAAGCCAAGGAACCTAGATCGCACCAGAAATCAAAGCATGTACTCAGACGCTATCATCTCATTAGAGAAATAGTCAATAGAGGTGACGTCAAGATATGCAAAGTACCAACAGATTCAAATGTGGCTAACCCGCTCACCAAGCCACTACCACAAGCAAAGCATGAACGTCATACTAGTGCATTAGGCATTCGTTTTGTTCACGGTTGGTCCTAGTGCAAGTGGGAGACTGTTGGAAATATGCCCTAGGACAATCATAGTTTATGATTTATCAATAAATATTTAATGCTCATTAATTAATAAAGTTGCAAACTCATTTTATGTTAATTATTATTGTGAGTTTTCTTTATTAATATTTAGTCCCTGAATATTCTGTTTAGTAGCTAATTAAGTATGTGACTTAATTGTGGAATGCTACACTTTAAAATAAACATAATATTCTAATTGTCCCTGGTCTAATATTATTAATTTGGGACATTAATAATTAATAGACCAGTATGTGGATTAACTGGTGGCTATATTCCACTAGTCATGGGTATAGAGATATCAAGTTAATAACATAGATGCTTGTTAGGGAACAAGTTCATTGGACAGACCCAACTTGAGGACACTGCTAGGTTATATGTCATCAGTGTTGTCCTCAATAATGATGAGGTGCTATACTCTTATACTTGAGATAATCATGGTTACTAGCATGAGAATTAATATGTATTAACACCATTAAATGTTATCTTTAACTGGGTAATTATAAAGGTGGTGATTGTACATATTATGAACCATGTAGTAGTATGTGAATTATCAAGATAGTTTTTGTCACTCTTGTACATCGAGAGAAAGATATCTATTGGGCCCCTTGACAAGTAAGATTAATTAGCATGGCCATGCTCAAATGAGGTGTCATTTGATCAAGATTAATCTTACTTGGTAATCAAGAAATATTAATTGAGAATAACAAGGATGACACGACCTAACCTTGTCTCAATTAAGATATCGTTTGACAAAAGAGAATTGTTAGCACAAATTAATCATTAAAAGGTTATGTCAGATTTAATTGACATTTATATATTTTTGGATAGTCATAATGCTTTGCTAGAGGCCGCTTATGATTTGTGAGGCTTGAATTAATTTCTAGCCCACTACCAATAATATATAAACCTACAGGGTCACACACCTAAGTGATTTGGATCATTTAATGTTTGTTAATAACATTAAAATAGCTTGATTAGCCCAATTCGAAATAGGTTTTCGAATGGTATTGGGCTAGGGCCTCTTTAAGGGTTTTATTAGCCATAAAACCCCTTCTTTACTCCTCTTATAAATAGGGCCATATAGACCCACGAACTTTAAAGAGTTAAAATTCACTTCTTAAACCTAGAGTAGAGAGGAAGAAAGAAGAGAACGCTAGCACGTTCCCTGCGGCCGATCCAGTCACGTGCGTGTGGATACCGGTAGAGCTCGGGATCATTTTCTCGGACTGTCTGACATCCTTGATTAAGATTGCTATGTAAGTCCCTCTTAAATTCTTGTAATTTCGTTTATAATAAGAACCTCAGATCCGTTCATTTACTTTTGGGTAGAAAAATTTTTGTTTATTCCGCTGCGTTTTTCTGCCCGAAACCCAACAGTGGTATCAGAGCCTACGGTTCTTTATTATACTCGGGTTACAAGATTTGATGTATAATCTATAATTTGATTATTTTGGGATTTATTTTCGGAATTAATTAATTTTTATTAATTTCGAAATTATTGATATATTAATTTCGGAATTTATGTGTATGCTATATTCCGAAAGTTTATAAGGATGTGATATTCGAACAATTCGAACTTGATCCAATATATATTCACAATAATATTTGGAATATTTTGTGGTAATATTTATTTTACAAATCAGATCTGAATAGATTAGGAATTGGATGGAATCCTACAGCCTAATTATTCGGAAGAGATTTGAATGGACATGAAAATTCAAGAGTTTGAATTAGATCCAATTTGATACTTATAATTTATGTTTCATATTCGGAATAATTTTGAGTACAACTAGGATTTTGAAAAATTTGGATTTTGATTCAAAATCTATTTTAAAGTCCGAATATAACTTGTTTATATTGCTTCGTATCAATTTATTGCTTTGTATAATATTGCAAGATTCGGATTTTGATTTAAACTCTAATTCAATATTTATTGCTTCGTATCACATTCGGATTGTGGTATATATAGATTTCCAAATTTGAAATCAATAAAAAGATTGAATTAGATCTAGTTTATATTTAGACCTAATCATGGAAGTTTTAGCTTCTCGTTTTTCGGATGAGATCCGAATTGATTTTACAAAGTTATTCTTCAATTATACAAATTTAGTGATTTGCCAAATTAGTTCAGATCGAAGAATACACAATTAGTTGGGATGAGATCCATATTATAACATATTGGAATCCATCTATATTACGGATATGTTATCTGGGAAATTCAAATTTAATCACAAATTAATTATTTTTGAATTTTAGTTTATTAATTTTTATTCGTAGTTATATATGTGTATTAATCTATATTACGGATATGATCTGTATTTGTGCATATGTAATACGAATTATTTTAGAATTCATTAAATATGTATTTTTCCGGATGAGATCCGAATTAATTACATAATACTTGCGGATTTTAAAATTTAATTTTCAATCCGTGCATGCGCAATTATTTTGCTCCGTCATAGGGACAGCTTGAAGTGGTGGTATAGCATGATCTGATGTATGTTTTATATTATGTTGTTTTACGGCCTGCGTGCCGTTTCCCACTATCCCCTGTAATGTTTTACAACCCCGTAGATTTTTAGTAGTACACTACACAGGTTGAAGATGTCAAGGAGATATGAAGATTTTGGGATCATGCTATATCACTGCACTAGTTTTAAATTATTTATTTAAATATTTGATTGTTGCATGTGTGTAATTATTAGTCCCGACTAATTATAAGTCTAAATTGCTTTCCCAATATGACCACCATTTAAACTAGGGGTGAACAAAAAAACCGAAAAACCGAAACCGACCGACAAACCGACCGAAACCGAACCGACCAAAACCGAAACCGACTCAAACCGAAACCGACTCAAACCGAACAAACATTGGCGGTTCGGTTTACGGTTTCACCTTTGGGGTTAAAAAACCGACCGAACCGAAACCGACCGACAAAAACCGACAAAAACGTGCTAAAACTAACCGAAACCGACACGAACCGACCGATATTAACCGAACCGAAACCGAACCGAAACCGACTCAAGTAGTGCGGTTCGGTTTACGGTTTCAGCTTTTCCGAAAAAAAAAAAACCGACCAAACCGAACCGACCAAACCGAAAACCGACTAAACCGAACCGACGAACACCCCTAATTTAAACTATGCTAGTCGTGATATGTGTCTGCCAAAGCAGAGCATTTCACACTATCTTAGGAAGATGTTATGAATGATCGTCATTCTCGGGTCTTAATATTGGTTTGGACTTACAAGGCCATCAAAATGGTTTTGGGCCTTGAAGCAAGGAGTGTTTGGATAATCAAATGATGTTGACCAAACAAACCAAGAGTCATATAGGATATGATTAACAAGAGTTGTTTACCTAGATAACTAATTTTTAAGTGATAAGCCAAAGCTTACTTAAATTTTAGTGAAATATGGATCTTGGACCACTATATTTGGGACTTTCTATTTAATATAGTGGGAGTTATTTTTGAGCATTATTTAAAATTCTTTGCATTATTTGTTGTAGTAAATATGGCCGCCAACACAACTTTTTCACTGCGATCTATCCTTGAGAAGGAAAAACTTAATGGAACAAATTACATGGACTGGGATAGGAATCTGAGAATCGTTCTCAAACAAGAGCGTAAAGAATATGTCCTTGACCAACCAATTCCTGCTGAACCAGCGGCCAATGCTGCTAGAGCCATTAGAGATGCTTATGAAAGGCATGTCCGTGATGAAGTTGATGTCACTTGTCTGATGTTAACCATCATGGAAGCTAATCTTCAGAAACAGTTTCTGAATCGTCGTGCACATGACATCTCTAATGAACTCAAGAACTTGTTTCAGAAACAAGCACGGATCGAAAGGTTCGAGACGACCAAAGCTTTGTTTCACACAAGGCTTACTGATGGAAACCCGGTTGGACCTCACGTGCTCAAGATGATTGGGCTTAGGGATCGATCACCTGGAAAGACTTGGATCTCCAATTAGTCAAGAGTTGGCTACTGATGTGATTCTCGCATCACTCACTCCGGCATATGACCAGTTCATCATGAACTATAATATGCATGGTCTTGAGAAGACCTTAACCGAATTGCATGGAATGCTCAACTCTGCTGAGCAAAACATCAAGAAAAATCGGAGTGAC